AGGTGATATGGACCGGGGGGGCTGCAGAGGTGATATGGACCGGGGGGCTGCAGAGGTGAAATGGACCAGGGGGGCTGCAGAGGTGAATTCAACAGATCTTGGCAACAGCTTGGACATGGAGGGGTGAAAGACTGTGAGGGGCCCAGGAGGACTCTGAGGATGTGGAGAAATGGAACAGTGGTCAGGATCCCAAGGTGGAGCCTGGCAAGGACAGGGGTAGGGTGGAGGGACTGATTAGGGTGCTAGCCAGGGCATTACTGGAATAGCTGAGCAGATGGTCCAGGTGCAGCAGCAAGGAAAATGAAGACCAGAAGGGAGCTGAGGAGCCAGGAGACTAGAATGAAGAGGGACCTGGGCACTGAAGGCCACCAAAAGAGCTAGTTCAACAGGAGTAAAGGGAATGGGGAAGGTTGCTGTGGTCAGGAAGGGAGCTCAGAACTTCAGGACTTGGAAGTTGAACACAAGCACTAAGCAGGGCCAAGATGTGGCCTGACTTTCTTCATCCACAGCCTACCTCCCTCTCACCCACATGAGGCAGTCAACAACTCTTTCTGCTAAGTACCCACCGCACCTCCTCCTGTCCCTCCCACAGATGTTTGTTCCCATTATTTTTCCATGGGCCTGAGAAGAGTCTTTCTTAGAAAGACAAAGTCCAACACCAGAAGTCCTCATGCCATCAGCTCCATGCTAGGGTGAAACCCGCCAGAGATCTCTTCCCTCCCTCCCCCCTCCCTCTGACCCTGACACCCAAAAGTGGCTGCTGGTACCTTGATGAGAGTCGGGGTGGGCTTGGCAGTGGGAGCAGTACCTCCATTAGGGAGGCTGGGTGGCAGCAAAGGTGGAACTGGCAGAGGAGACAGTTGCTCTGCCAGGAAAGCAGGTTCGCTGGAGTCGGGGCACACTTGGAGCTGGGACACCACCTGAAGGGGAAGGGAGAACATGAGGGCCAGCCTGAGAGCCTCCAGACCCAGGAGGTCTGTCCACACTCTGGAGGACAGAGCACCATGGCAGCCAAAGAGGACCGGTCAGCACTGGCTCAGCCCTGACGGGGTAAGTGGGGCCAACGGTCAGGAGCGGCAGAAAGGCAGATGGAACCCTGCTGGCTACAGAGACTCTGCGGGCAACGACTTCCCAGCCAGTCTGAAGTTGTCCTGAATGGTCTGTGATAAACTGGCCGGGAGGACTGAGCTGGGGCTGGGGTCACAACCCACGTGTGTAGAGCTCCTCCCTTACAACCTCCTTGAAAGGTAGGTAAAGTGTCACTATCTCAGTTTGACAGAAGAGGGACCTGGGGCTGTGTGGGGGGAGTGTCCTGGCCCAGAAAGGATCTGAATCTAGGTCTCCTGCCTCGAAGGCCTCAGAGGGTCATGGATCGAGACCTGGAGGAGACTTGGAGGCCGCAGAGTCCAGGCCCTTCAGAGGCAGAAGCTGAAGCCCAGACGGGGGAAGGGCCTTGCTCAGGGTCAAACAGCAAGCCCGTGTCTGGAGGAAAGATCTGAACTCCAGGCTTCCTGTTCCAGGTCTCTATCCACTAATGGCACGGAGGCGGAAGGATGGCTGGAGGACCAACTGTGCTCATTGCCACCATCAGCAGACTGGGGTTGAGCGGGCCAGGCACAGGAAGCAGGGACAGACCACAAAGGCTGACACCTTACAGCTAGAGGCCAGACGGCCTTCGCCACAGCCCTGGGCTCAGTCCAGCCATCTCCCTCCTTCTCACAAAGGAGTCCACCACCACGCCTTCAGAGCCTCCTAAGCTGGCTTTCGAGGATACCTGTTCCAGCTGGGGTCTCCTAATGGGGGCACAGGGCATTACAGGTGCCTTTTGCAAATATAAGATTACAAATAACTTACCCACCAGCGTAAAAGGACAACCAATTTTAGGATACTCAAACCTTTGGGGTCACAGAACCCAATGCTTCAAGTTTACCTATGAAGCCACTCTGGCTCTCAAAGGGGGAGCACTCTGCCGAGTTCACACAGTACAGCAGCCAACTCTGGCCTGAGGAAGCTGCTGCTGTGATCTCACCTGAGGAGGGGACACAGAAATAGAGGTGGCCAGGGGCTCGCTGCCTCGACCCTCCAGCGGTGACGGTGCCGACCCTTGGGACTCATGGCTGGCTGGCTGCTCAGGGGACAGGGCATCACTGCTGTCCTCATCAAAAGAAGAGTTGTCAGCCACTTTGGGATAATTGACCTGTCCCACTGCAAAGAAAAGCCAGAGTCACGTGTCAGCACAGGACCAGTGAGGGAGGGTGTGGCCCTACTTATCACAAGAGGGCATGGTAAGAGGCCCAGAGGAGTCAAGCAATGGCATCCTTTGCCCACCCAGCAGGGGAGGGGCATGGCACTCCTCTTCTTCCGCCCAGGGCAGTCCCAGAAAAGCTCTTCTGGGTAAAAGAGAAATAAAAGCGCCCTCCCATCACCGAGTGCCCCACCCTGGGAGAGGGGAAGGGTTCTCTGTGTATGTCCCCACTTTCAGTTCCTCATTAAGTCCCTTTTCATTTACATCTTCTTAGCCGCCTGGGGACCAGAGTCTCTCCAAACTTGGTGGCCTTTCCCTGCCCTCAGGCCTGGAGCCACAACCAGACTTTCATTTGTCCAGGGACTCACATAAACTGCTTTTCCTTCTAAGGAAATGCACAGGGGAGCTGGAGCAGGGTGTTGCTGACTGAATCCTCAAGAAAAACCCAAAGGTGCCTCGCCTTAATCACGCCTTTCATAAATGACCTTTTCATAAATGGAAACAAGAAGGAGGACATCTCTTGGCCAGATACAACCTCCCAGCAGCACTGAAAGAGACTCTTACTCCTCGTTACGAAAATGATGAGCTCTACAGGCCAGCTGAGTGTGTCTCCTCAAGGGCAAGGAGCAGGCTCAGGAGGCCTTGGCATGAAAACCCCAGGGCTATGAGGGAAGGCAGAGAAAGGGAACAAGGAACCCAGAAAGAAAGTGACATTTCAACAAGATTCACACCACAACCTCTGAATCAGGCCCGAGAAGCATGAGATGGACTGACGGACAGACCCTGCTTATTCCATTTGCGTGCCTCTATGGGACCTGCCCAGAGGAACTCTTACTACCGCAGAGAGGCTAGAGGTGGCCTGCTGGCCATGGACTGAGGTCACTGCGTATAGGGAGGAACCTGCAGGATAGGAACCTAAGCAAATCCATGACAAAATATGCAGGTGGCAGCTATACCCAGTCTCCCTGGGCAAGACCCAGAGAAGGCTCCTCCTAAGGCTCAGGGCATGGGGAAGATTCTGCCAAGCTGCCTGCTCCCTTCCCCCATTCCCTGTCCTCCTGCAGGGCCAGAATGATCAAGGCAGGGACCTGTGGACCCCATCACTGGGGCTGCACCAGGGCCTGTTTTCAGGCCTTATAATTTTGCCGTCCTAGGGGAGCCTTTGTTCCTAGAGCCTCAGCAGACAGCATAGCAAAGGATACAAGGATAGGTCCCTGGCATTAGGGGCAAGTGTGTGTGTGGGGGGGGGGGGGGGGGGGGCCTCGGGGGGAGGATCCCCGGCCCCCCCGGGGGCCTACCGCGGGAAGCAGCGGCGCTAAGCGGCAGGGGGGGGGGGGATGCCCCTCTGTCCATGATAGTACTGAGGCCACTGCAGCTGGGTAGGAGGCAGCACTATGGGGGTAGATGCTTTATTCTTTCTAGAAATTCTACTGCTTTCTGACTGGGGGTTGGGGGAGGGATGCGTATCAGAAAACAAACTCCCATGTGCCCACATGCTTTGATGAGCAAAAGGGACTGAACCTGGAAGGAGCGGGAGAGGCAGGATGGGCACATGCATGTGGGATTGCACACACATTCACATGCCTCCCTCCTTTGTGCTTCCTGTTACTACGTGACCCTACTGGCAAAAGACAGGGTCCTATGGGGAGGGCTTTTTCCAGGACTGAGGACAACCCCAAGTCTGAAAGTGTCAGGGCTCCCAAGAGATGACTCAGCAAAGAAGGACGGCGACTCTGCGGAGCCCAAGGGCCAGCGCTGCCGACTGTCCTCCTGGAAAGGGAGGAATGACCTGCTGACGCTACCGAGGTGCCCCTCAGGGTCCAGACTTGCCTTGATTTCCTCTCAGCTGAGCAGGCCAGCAGATTTGGCTCTTAAGGGCCTTGGCCTTGCCCTGGGCTTTGAGGCCCTGCCCCTCCCCAGCCCGTCAAGCGCCTCCTTACCAATGATGGCCTCCTTCAGACTGGACTCCACCGGAAGGATGTTTTTCTCCACCAGTTCCATGGGGCCTGGCCGCTGGGCGATCTTCTCGTTGAGGTCATCAGCCAGCCGGGCTCTCTTCAGTTTTAGCTGTTTGGCTTGGAGGGAAGGTTCAGCTGAGGTTTCTGCTCACAAGGAGAGGGGATGAGGCAGCATTAGTACCCCTGGCCCTGTCCTGAGGACATCAGAGCAGCTGTCCGTCCTTTCTGGGAAGGAGCAAGGATGGTTACATACACCCATCTCCTATTCACCTTGAATTTGGGTGGGTCACAGAACAAGAGTTTACCAACTTGAAGGCTACCCAGGGACCAAAGATCCACTGGAACACAGACAAATTCCTGCCCTAAGAAACAGGACATGGCTGCACACTTATTGGTGAGCTGGGAAATGGGAGGCCTGGGTTCTGGTCTAGCTCTGCCCCAATTTTGCTGTGTGCTTAGACAAGTCGTCTCTGCTCTGGGCCTCAGGTAGCCTCATGTGCAAACTAATAGGGCTGGGCAGAAAGGCCTTTTACACCACCGACATCAAACAGTTGTTTCTGCAGAGGCCAGTCTGCTGCTACTCTTTGGTCCAAACCCTAGGTAGACACAATGTGGAAGGGATGGCATGGCTGGTGCCAGCTTTTGAAAATCAAGATAAGTTTCACAGAATGCATTTGTTTTAGTCACATTTGAAGGAAAAGGAAGGCATGGATGGGTAGACGGGATACATTCAGTACCAAGAAATGGTGGGAGAAAATGGCTAATGAATTGCACAGAAAAAAGAATCAACACCAAAGGCTGGTGCCTCCCTGAGAATTCTAAAGCAGAAATCCTGGTTGAGGCAGCTCAGGTGGGCAGGGGTGTGAGAGCATGGCCAGCTCCTTGCCAGAAACATAGGAGCGTAGGAGGAAGAGGAGGAGGAAGAAAAGGAAGTCGGAGGGGAGCAGTGATGTACTTCTCTGAACCGTGCAATTCTTAGATCTGTGAAAGGAGGGGCTTGGACCGGCTGAGCTTTGAGGCCTTTCTCGGATTAAAATCCATTATTAATAAATGCTGACTGATTACACTCCTGGGGCAGTTGTGATCAGAGAAAGTTAAGACTCCTTCTCTTGGATCCCCTCCCTTCTACACAAACCTTCCAAAATGTGCATCCTGACCAGCTCTGATCTCTCTGGCCGCGAACGGATCTTCCGTTTCAAATAGTCTTCCGTCTATTAAAACAAAAGCAAAAAGAAAGAGAAGTTCAAGTCTGGCACTCCAACCTAAGGAAAGCAGCGTGGGCTGTGTCACTCAGAGGCCTGCTCTGGGACCTGCTCGGGACTACCAAGGGCCCACGCTGGCAAGGCCATCTGAGGGCCAGGGGCCTAAGCCTCCAGCTGCACTTGCTAGCTTAATCCACAGCCCAGTTTTTTTTCCCCAAGATGCCTTGATTCTCTTAGATTCTGACAGATTTACTGGTGCTGAAGCTGCACCATTCTAATACAGTGTCCACAGCCCCGTCCAGTGCCCAGCACAGATCTTCCCCCAGGGTTATGTCAGCCCCGCCCAGTGCAGGCCCACCAAGTTCTGGGGCCCCAGGCTCCTGTCTTGATGTCCTCCAACTGAGCTCACCTGGCTTTGTGCTCTAGGCCTGTAGAGCCAGCCAGACCATCGGGAGAAAGCTCAACCCTAATGGCTCCAGCAGACAATCTCTAAATGCTGTGGCCTTCAGTGCCCCCGGCTTGGGAAGGCCCTGGGCTGCACCCACAGTGGCACTAGCCACAGCTCACATTTTGCCAGCACCTGAAGGCTTACACACACAGCACTTTCTTCACAGCCATCCTGTAAGGGATGGTACCAGCATGTCTCTACTGCCTAAACAAAGAATCAGAGACTCCAGGAGAACAAATGGCTTCCTTAGGGTCACAGGAGTCAGACCCAGGCCCCCGACCCCAAGTCCAGAACTCTCTCTGCACTACGATGCTGCCAATTAAGAAGGCTTTTGGAAGCGGAATTGAAAGGTGCCCAGTTCAACTCCTCAGGCTCTTTAGGAAAAGAACTCAGAGGAATGAAGAGAAGGCATCCCAAGCCCCTATTTGTTTGGTTTCTTAGTATGTGGCGCTCTGACGTGAAATGTCAGGTACATTCTGTCCCCTCGCTTACCCCTCCGCTTTTCCCTCATCACAATGTTGGTCTGAGAATCAAAAGACCCAGGTTTTTCATCTGCCCCTGGACAAAGAAATTCACCATTCTGGGCCTCAGTTTCCCCATCTCTAACATGAAGAGGATGAGGCTTTGAAGCACTAAAGAAACATAACTGTAACTGAGACAGCGGGGAGGAATGGAAAGGGTAACGCATTTGGACCTGGTTTGACAATGCTGCCCTGACACCCCAGCTGGGTGACCTGGAACCTTCCTGAGTCTCTTTCCTATGGCATATGAATCTCAATCTTGGCGAAGCTTTCACTGTGGAAACGTCAGGAATGGTTATGATCAAGGGAAAGCCATCGTCAAATCCTCATCACTCATGAGCCATGGCCTCGGCACTGGGCTGACTCAGCTAGGAAATGGGGGACTCCATCTCAGGCCTTGGACTAGATCAGGATTAGAACTTGAGGCCGCAGGTTCCCCTCCTTGGACTAGGGCTCAGAATCCATCAAAAGCTCTGGTTGTACACAGCTGTCTCCAAAGGTGCCTCTGGGGCTTCTATCTCCCATGTTAAGTGAAGTGAAAGGCAGACAGCGGGAGGCAGCTCGCAGACAAAGAGCTCGGCTTTCCAGAGCGCCTCGGAAACCTCTGGCCCAAGGTGGTCAGGAACCCAGCCCCGCAAAGATGCCTGCTCCAAGGGACGTGGAGGGCCCTGCTGCATTATACAAAAGTGCTAGCCTGATTAAAGCTTTGGGACCCTTTTTAACCACGCCAGCCATGCTGCCCGAGGGAAACAGGGTGAGAAGTGGGATTCAGGGTGGGAAGATGCATACCAGAGCCCGAGTTTCTGTATCAACATACTGAGCTGGGTCCAGCTCTCACTCCAATGACGTTCCATTTTAACCGCCCCAGGAAAGTGTGGAAAGGCCAGGATGGGCACTACAAGAGTGCAGGAAAGAAAGACAACTCTAGAACCTGGGCTGGGGCTCTCATCCAGGCAGCAGCCACAAAAAGATATTGGAAGAGCTTTGGAAAAACACACAGTGCCTTACCCGGGCCCGCTCCAAGCTCCTTCTCTGTTCATGAAATGCAGCTGGACTTTTCAGAGCTGTTGGAAAGAAGAAAAATGTCAAAGAAGAATGGCTCCAGAGAGAAGCTTTCCCATCCTTCTGCCCACGTCTCCTCCTCACCAGGCCCATCTGCAGAGTCACTGCCTCAGTCCAGGCCCCCATCACCTCTTGACCACATTCCCGCTAGGATTTCCTACCTGGTCTCCCTACCTCAAACCTCTTTCCTCTCTAAATTGTGATCTAAACCTCAGCTTTTCTATCTGTAAAATGGACACAATACCATGTCCCTCACAGAATGGCTGTGAGGAAAGTATTTTGTAGCTTAAAGTGCTTGAGAAAATTAAGCTTTCCATTTCTGCCTTTGTGACTGCAGCCCAGGCCCTTTCCTGATGGACTTGATTTTCCCCAAGTGCAGATTTAACCACCTACTTGTCTAGACTAGGCTCCAACATAAACTTCTGTCTGGCCATTAAAGCTCTTCACAATCTGGTCCCAAACTAGCTTTCCAACCTCATTCGACATTCAGTCCTCCTCTGTCAGCAAACTAGCCTCTCAAGCCCTCATCACAGCACGCCATTTACCACTTCCATGTCTTTGACTGGCTGGCCTGAATGCCTAAAACACCTTCTTCCTCATCACCTCCTAGAAAGCATCTCTTCCTTCAGGATTCAGCTTAAGCACCACCCTCCACATCGGGCCTGTCAAATTCAAATAGTTGTTCGGTCCTTTTTCAGTTGGGTCCAACTGTTCCTGACCCCATTTGAGGTTTTCTTGGCAAAGATACTGGAGCAGTCCGCCATTTCCTTCCCCAGCTCATTTTACAGATAAGGAAACTGAGGCAAACAGGGTTACACTGGGTCACACAGTAGTTAAGTGTCTGAGGCTGAATTTGAATTCAGGTCTTTCTGACTCCAGGCCTGGCACTCTATCCACTGTGCCACCCAGCTGCCCAAATAGGAAAGAGGACAACTAAACCATATGTAAGGATCCTTACAGGTGCACATTTAATTAAAAAAAAAAACCCATATATTAACCTTATCTGTGTTGAACTTTTATTAATTTTGTTAAATATTTCCCAGTTGCTTTTCCCAATCTTAACAAAATGGTCACAACACCAATACTCGTCCAAATCAATATTCAAAGCCAGCTCCCCCCCCACCCCGGCTCCTGGTCTGGCATTCCCCCACATTGCCCATGAATCCTTTTTCTTTAGCTCCTACCAGGAATTAGACATTTCACTTGACTGGGTCGAAGTGTTACTCAAATCAGCTTGTACCTCATCTCTAAAGAGCTTGTCCAAGCACTTTATAGCTACTATTTGCTTAACCGTGCCAAGATTTACCGGGCAGAGTTGGCTCTAGGAGCTTAGGGGCAGTGGACAGAGGGAGGCCCTGGAGTTAGAGACCCCGAGTACAAACCCTGACTCTGTCAGCTCACTCTCAGGTTGCCTTTGGGCTCGTATCCCTCACTGATGACCAGAGCCTTCGAGTTTCCCCTATGATCCTGGGGCTTTCAAGGTCCCTGCCAGCTCAAAGGCTAGACTTTTGTGCCTCACTGAGGTGAGGCAGCCACTCCTGGCCTCCACTCTCAATACAACCCAGGACAGAGGCTACCTTCTGGAGGGTGGGGATGATACAAGACCCAGGCAGTTCTCAAAAGCCTTGCTGTGAGTCCAGAAGGACAGTAACAGACGGACCATGGTTTCAGCCACCTATCTGGCAGATGAGGGGCAGCAAGTCTTGACTCACTACAACCAAGTGGGGAACAACAGGAAGGCGAGTGAAATGTACAAGACTGCGGTCAGTTTCACATCTGGGCAAAGGAGTTTCAGAGCAATTGTGAAACCACGGTGAGCGCTTCTGCTCTGGGACTGGCTGGCGGTAGGAAGGCGGAACAAGGACACTCCCTGGCTCGAGCCTCCGGGCTTCCTCTCCCTTCCGAGGGGCTAAGTCTTTGCTCAGCTCAGCTGCCTCTGCTCATCAGCAGGACAGTGGCCATTCATTCATTCAACACATACTTTTTAAAGTCTCTCGGCCGAGGTGGTTAGCGTGTCTTCAAAGGGGAGCTCACATTCCCAGCTTTCAGCAGCAGGGGGCGTTCTGCATTTATCAAAAAGCCAGAAAACCGATTCTGCCTTCTCCCACAATACTCACACATTTACAGAGAAATGGAATTTTCAGCAAGCCGCAACATCTCAGTTAGTCTGAAGAAACAGACTTTGCATTTCCCTCTGGTTAGCCAATCAATCAATCAATCATTCAGTAACCATGGCAGCACACATGTAAGGCCTGCAGAGATCATCTAATCTAAACCCATTTTACAGATGAGGAAACTGAGCCCGAAGAGGGCCAGGTCACCCAGCTGGTGAGCCACCAATCAGCATCCCCCCTGCTGCCCTGTGCTGGCTGCCTTGTAGTCTCAGTTCTATATGGGCCAGGTATCCTGTTATAGTAGGAAGGGCACCAAAGACAATCAGGACATTGGCCTGGATCTTGCCCTAGCCTTCCCTCTAACGTGCTGTGTGATAAAGTCTGTCTCTCACTCCCCACCTCCCTAAGCAAAGAAGTGGAAACGAGAGATACCCATCAATTGGGAATGGCTGAATAAACTGTGGTACGTGAATGTTATGGGAACTTACTGGGCTGTAAACAAATACAGAGAAGCCTGAACAGATCTACGTGAACTGATGCAGAGTGCATTACAGAGGCGAGAACACAATGCACACAGCACCCACAACAGTGCACATGGCGAGAACCACAGACACAAGTCAAGAGAGAGCTGCAGATTCACAAGGAACAAGCCTTGCTCCAAAGCTGAGAGGCAAGAAGGCACCTGACCCCGTCCTTCCAAGAGGTGGGGGGCCCAAAAATGTGGTACACTGATCAGTTATGCTGATTTCTTTTCCTCTTTTTTCTTTAAAAAAAAAAAAGTTATTTCTTATGTGGCATGGCTGTCTGGGAAAGGGGTGGGAAGTGATACTGAGGGAAATTATGGTGATATTAAAAAAATGACATCAATAAAAACTTGTTTTTAAAAGAACTAGAGATCTTTTAATGTCCCTTCCAGTTCTAAGAACCTCTAAGTAGAAGGTGAAAATAAAACCAACATTTGAGTGTGCCATTTAACTAAAACAAGTTCCATGACATGACATGACATGACATAGATTCAAAGGACAAATTATTACATTTTATATGCAAAGTAAAAGAGTGGGCACCATTGACGGGGAGAGGTCCAGACAGCTCTGCTGTAGATGCTCAGCCTGGGGCCTTATGTACACTTTGTACATCTTGTCTTTGGTAGCTTAGCTTAACTGGTTAATAATGACAATGATGAAGGAAAAGAGGAGAATCAGCGGTATCTGAGTTTTATACGGCACTTTGAGGTATTGTGTGTGGTGCTGTTGTCACTGTTATTTTTTAACAAAATACTTTATCAACATAAGCTCATTTGATTCCCCACAAAAAACCCATGAGGTAGGTTTTATTATTACCCCCATTTTACAGATATGAAACATGAACCTAGGACTTGACTACAAGACCAGTCCATTACCTACTGTGCTCTACTGGATCACAGTCATGTGCTTCAATGTGTTTGATCACGGGTGGACCAGTTACTTTCACTCTCTATGGCTGTCAACTCTACCCTGGCCTGAGTATATCCTCAGTCTCAAGGAAAAATTATTACAAATGCCCCTTCTGGGGGGGAAAGTCCAAATACACACTTAATAATGGTAGGCCACAAAGGAAAGGGTACTATTAATAAATACCAATCAGAGAACTCCTATCAAAGGAAGGACACTGTTACGTAGGAGAGGGGTTTTTCCCTTGAGCTCTGAGGAAAGAAAATACTTGGTAAATGAGGACGAAGGGCCACGTGGATGCAGGCCTAAATTCAGATGAGGAAGTGAATCTGTTCAACAAGCAGAAGTCATGCACTTGATTAAGTAGGCTACCCTGGCTGACAACGGGCACAGAAGGCCATAATCATTACAGATGATGCATTTGCTGAGATGAATTCTGTTGGTGAAAAGCTTTCTTGGCTTGTACGAATTGATGCAGAGTTAAAGAAATAAACAGGCAGAATCAGAACACTCAATCAACCACAACACAAATAATCATCAAGCATTTATTAAATGCCTACTGCACGCCAGGCACAGCACTAGGCTATGAAGATATAAAAGCGGGCCAGCCATTAGCTCCCACGAGTCTGACTGTGTGATCTTAATGGTGATGACCTTCAGTCTCCCATCACCAACTACTTATTGGCCATTTTAAAAAAGGACGACTGTGCAGAACAGTGCTCATCATCCCTATCCCCCAACGCTCCCCCTGCCAGACTTTCCTATTTCTGTTCAAGGCACCACCATTCTTCCCGTTCCTCAGGATCACTCTTCACACCTCACTCTCCCTCACCCCACACAGCCAATCAGTTGCCAAATATTACCATTTCTACTTTCACAATACTCTCCCATCCACGCCTTCTCTCTCTTCATATGGCCACCAGTGTAATTTTGTTTTTCGTCACTTCTTTCCCAGATTTCTGCATCAGCCTCCCTAATAAATCTCCCCATCTCAAGTTGTTCCCCACACCAGTCCATCCTTCACACAGGTGACAAACCGATTATCCTTAAGTGCAGATCTGATCGTGTTATTCCTACACTCAATCAACTCCAGCAGCCACTTATGGCTTCCAGGATTAAAAAGAAACTCCCATTTGCCTTTCAAAACCTTTCACAACCTGACTTCAGTTTAGGTATCTTTCTACCTCACTAAGATATTCTCCCTCCTACAACCTGCAATCCCCCCAAATGAGCTCTAGTAAGAGCTCTCACTCTCTAACTCTCTGTCCCTTCACAACGCAGCTCAATCACCACCTTCAACAAGAGGCCTTTCCTGATTTCCATTAATTATGCCTTTTGCAACTCTTTGCAACTGTTTTCTATTTCCTTTCTGCTACTGGCCTCCTTCCTTCCCTTGTATTTTGTTGTTTATTCTTTGTATTTACTTTTATATATGTACATACGTACGTGTGTGTGTGT